ATTTCTCATAGCCACATCAGCGATTGACTATAAAACTGACACTGTTATTCAAACTTCCTTGCGGAATGGACTTGGCGGGGATGTTACGCTCATCACTGTGGCTCACCGTCTCCAGACAATTATGGACGCAGATAAGATTGTACGCCATCGTCGAGATTGCTATGAGAGCCAAATACTGATTTTTCACAGATGGTACTTGATGCCGGGCATATAGTTGAATTTGACAGTCCTTCACAGCTTCTCAAGAACGACAAGGGTATGTTGCGCGCGTTAGTTAACGAGAGTGGGGACAGGGACAACCTGGTTGCGATGGCAGAAGGGAAAGCATCGAGCTCCCAGTGAACAGTCTCATTCATCCAATGGAATATGGACAGTCCTTATTCACGCAGACCTTATGTAAGGCGTTGCCATGAACTAGGAATGTCAATTTTGCCCAACTTCTAGTAGCCATCACTACCCATGTTCAAGGGTGCAGACAGTCGTCGTTTTCTCATGGGGTATTCCATAATGTTCAGCACGCAAAATGCATAATAAATTTTCGGTGGGACATCCGGTAAGACATAAGGTAAAAGGGAAAGGCCAAGTAGAGAAGCACTAAACAGTAAGTAGAATTCGAGACGAGAGCTGAGAAAAGACGGTAGTTGATAGTCGGATCTCGCAGTCGAGCCTTCCAAGCTTGTCGACGCTGTCAAGCCTTGCGTTAAGATAGTTTCTAAGATCTCCTGTAGCCCCCTCCAGGCTCTCCACCATTCCTAGGAACATAGTCTCTTCCGCCGCCTTTCGGCGGAGGGCCTCCAGAGGCTCCAGAGTAGCCGTTGCCAGTAAAGCCACCATTAGAACCAGAGTAATTAGGATCATAGGCTCCTGCACCACCAGACCGAGGAGGGCTCTGAGAACGACGGCTTCGATGGTCTTTCAGTTGAACTGCCATCAGACAGAGATGTGATCCTCACCGGTATCTTTGGGCCGATGGCTCGACGCTACCCATGCGAGGTGGTGGGTCAGCATAGCGAGATGGCGGGGTCAACGGACGTCCGCGTGGATCCGGGGGAGGTGGATACTCGCTGCACCAAACCCAGCTGAATTTATGTTGTTGAGACAACAGACAAAGTACATACCGGGGAGGAAGTCTGTCAAATTCGTCGCGAAGTCGAGGAAGGGGACCACCGCCTAGGGGGCTTCTTGACCTCACTGCGGGTGGACCTGGTGGGTAAGCCGCATACCTGTCACCTGGAGGCGGGGGACGTCTATCATAACGATCGTATAGATCACGAGGAGGTGGAGGCCCGTAGCCACGAGGAGGATAACCCGGGTGACCATCATCCAATGGGTAGTAGGCAGACCGATCGTAGGGACGAGGTGGAGGTGGCGGGGGTGGAGGTCCCCGCATTCTGTAGTCTTCATAGTCACGACGCATAGGAGGCGGTGGACCAGCATAATCACGGTAGTCCCTAGGAGGCGAAAGGGGTCTCCTGAAGTCCCGCCCCGGAGGAGGAGGCGGAGGCGGATAATCATAGCCATATCTCATTTCCCTAGGAGGATAGCGTCCACCCGGCGGCCCAAAGTCATCCCGATAAGGAGGATAGTCCCTAGGAGGAGGAGGGGGGGGAAGGTGATCCCTTGATGGTTGAATTCGATCAATCAGAGCATTGCTGGCTCGGCGACCACCGCTAATTAAGCCAGGTCAGTACACTCATGCGCCTCGTTCGAGACGGAAATGGCACACCCTTGGACAGCATTGTGGTTAGGGCATTCCCTATAAGAATTCGTGAACTACAACAAGCATCCTTAAAGGCCCATGCTTACCTCGCCCAGTGGCCCACCTCACCGCACTTGAAGCAGGCACCAGGATCCCCTGAATATTTTGCGGTTCTTCCACCTCCATGTGACAGTTCAACGCGGATTTTGTTGCCCATGAAATACCCTTCATGGTATTTCGCTACACTTTCTTCGGCAGCCTCACGACTTTCAAACTCCTGAATGTGGACAACATTGAACCAGCGCAATCCCCGTAAAATAGCCGCAGCACTTACAACAAAGCCATATCCAACTCTATGAAGTAAAGACAATCAGGGATGGAAACGGAGAAATGAAGATCAATGACATACTTGAGTTCAATGTTCATGATGTTACCAATTTTTCCAAAACAACTTTGGAGGTCCTCTTGACGTGTATGCTCCGGAAGACCACCAACATAGACCTTGTTCGGCTAGACAGCAGAAAGTAAACACCTAGTCGAGGTACATAGGAAACAAGCATAAGAATAGAAAAGCATGAGCAAGAGCAGTCGAGACCAGCCTCGCAAGCCCGTAGAAAGTGAAACGCGAAACAGAAGACACAGAAACAGGCCCACGGCGCATGCTAGACTCCATTCATAACGCACAAGACTGGAAGAGACTCTAAGCACCTTGACTTGCTTTTCGCGAAAGGATGCGTCGCCTTTGCTCCCGCCGCTGACACCACCGACACTAGATCCACGAGTAAAATCTGGGTTGTCTGAACCCTGCCCTGCATCCGCTAACAGAGGTGCACCGTTCTCAGCGTCAGCATTGCCACTAGGACCCATTGTGTCGGCTTGGCCATCAGTTGGGCCCCATTTGTCTTGACTGACCATTTCAATTGGAGAAGCCGCCATAGTGCAAGACAGCAAAGTTCAGTGACAGGGGTATGAGAAAAATTATGAAGATGTTACATAAGCAATCTTTTGTGTGTAATTTTTTAAAATTTAATTTATGATGCACGGATGTGACTATGTGCATGTAGCATGATATAGGTATCGATATGATTGATGTGACAAGTATCCGCGGAGAATAAAGCGAGATTAAGAGACAAAGAACAGGACCAGAGTCAATGTCATACAAAAATGTCTGTACTCGGCACCCCTGATAACTTACGCCAAAGTCCAGACACCGCTCGCCACACCGACTACAACCATGGCACCCATTCCCCACAAAGCTCTGACGTCGCCGATGAGGGGGACAGCGCCACTCGGAGATTTTGACGAAGCGCTCGAAGACAATGAGCCGCTACCAGCGGGAGCAGTGGGAGTGAATACGGATGATGCACTAGCAAAGCACGATGTGGCAGCAGCATTGGCCGAAGACACGTCAGAAGGTGCTGTGTTGTTGACGGTAGCATTGCCGGCAAAGTTGCAAGATTGTGGATTGCGGTTGTTGGCCTGGTAGTATTCGCTGAAAACGAAAGACAGCTTGATAGCTATGTGGCAATATGAAACTATAATCAGCCGGAATGTGACATTAAGAACCGGAAAGATACTCACGGGGATCGCAGAACGAGACACGGCCATAATCACCAGTGGAACCGTTGCCGGCAATGTCATTGCAATTGCCGCCCGCCTGTCCAAGAAGACTGCACCCGGTGTCCAAAAGGTCGCCAACAATTGCCGTGTAATTGTCCGTCTGGGGGGTGAATAAACAGCTTAGAGTTGTATCCAAACATTGACAGGATTGATCGTTGGGTGTGGGTGGGAGTGATGACGACGCAAGGAACGTAGCACTTTGTGCCGGACAGCTAGGGTAGTTCGTGTTGCCGGCAGCGCTTTGGTTTGGAGTGTTCGGTGGATTAACTTGACCGTACTGCGAAGCCAATGCATTGAAGTCGTTACCGGTCATTACGCTGCTTCCATCCACGGAGATGTTGACCATGCCGAACTGGCCTTGAACACTAGCGTCAGGAAAATAGGAAAATGCGAGACCTCCCGACCATACAGGTGACATCTCCGGGCTGAAAAGAGCGGCGACTTCTGTCCAGACACGGGGAGGCGAGGTGATGCAGCCAAATTCACTGAAGTAAGCCGGAACATTGAAGTTACTAAAGTCACTTTCCACTCCAGCATAAGAAGCTTGGAAAGTAGAGTTCCCACACCATTCACTGTGAAGTATGTTGGTTCAAGAATAGGTATGTAGAAAGCTCAAGAACATACTAATTGTTCAGACCATAAAGATCAATAGCTGTGGAGCCAGAGCCGCTGTTGGAGGGATCGCATGATAAATAATTGGCGAGCTCGGTCCGGAAATCAGAGGACCCATCGATGGAAGCATAACCAACAAGAATCGAAGAGCCTTTTGAAGCTCTGTCGTCACAGATCCTTAGCATTGACCGACGTTCTTATAAGTTTGCACTCACAGATATGCCTTGATATCACGGACAGCTGCCTTAATAAAAGGAGCAGCATCGGTGCCATTGTCGGCAATGACAACCTCGTTGCCGACATTGAACGCCAACACATTATCGTACTTGGAGAACGTGTCGATGGTGTTGATGTATAAGTCCAACAAGTTCGTTGACCATGCGGGAGATGCACGATCAATCGAGCCGTTCACAGGTAGAGAAAGATCGATGCTAAAGATCGGCGTGAGTTTGTTGGGTATAATTAGAACGGGGGTCCCACGTACATTGCGTAAATGCCTGCACCGCTGAACGCCTGCATACACGCATCGTGGTTCAAAGAAGAGTTAACGCTGTATGCTCGTATAGCGTTGACTTTTAGTTGCTGAAGGAAGGGTAAATCGCGTTGGCAAGCGGTGCCGTTGGACAATGGGTCAATGTAATCTGTCGGCTCGCCGAACGGGTTGCTCGCGCTAGCGACACTGGTTCCTGCTGCAGGCGTAATCGTTCAATTGCCCAATATTGCACGCAATTGGAGTGGACATACACATTTCTTGATACGCAATACCTTTGATATAGAACCTGTTGCCACTTTCATCGTACAAATACCTTCCACCCCTGCTGATTTTGGAGATGGCGTGAACGCTCGAGAATAGAGAGGCAGCCGCAGCGAGCGCTGCTACGCTTCGGGACGTTATACGCATGCCTCGTCGAATGTTAACCAGATATGACGGTGGTCGGGTGGACCAAGTAAAAGAATGTGAATTTGAATGTGGGGCGAGTCGAGAAGCAGTTATTTATAAATTGCCTCTCTCGTCGACTATAGTTCCGCAGTTATTGAGTTTGTTGCTAGCGTTCTGCACCACAATAACGCCCGCCTAGCTCAATCGGATAGAGCGTCAGACTCTTATGAGTTGCGGGTGCAGAATTGCTTCACGTAATCTGAAGGCTGCGAGTTCGACCCTCGCGGTGGGCTAAATGAATCAACTTTTAGTTATCAAATAACACTTAAATTTTTTTTTTTTTTTTTTTGCTGCAGCGCACGATACTATGTAATCAGACGGTACTAATCGATCTGACCTGGTAATCAATCGACTCTCCATGAGACCATCATGCTTACGCGTCAAACATGTCAACTGTACTCATTGGGTAAAAATACATAAAAAAATCCATTTATTGCTTTATATCTAATAAGTATGTATCGCATCGAGGAAGTCGTAAAGTCCATCTTTGATGATCGTTAGTATGGGTTGTCGTGCAACCTTATCTCTTCGACGTGGCCCTGGATGCAAGATAAATAACGCGGTATGGGGATGCCTGCGTCTACCCAACATTATCCTCGGAATGTACAGCAACTGAGTGTTTTCTATGATTAGAACAACAAATGCAAAGGTATATAAGCGAGTGCAACATACCTCAGCATATATGGAACAATAGACACCGCTAAGCAGGCAAACGCTGCCCACGTTAAGAACAACCCGGGCCCGGCTGACACCATAATAATCGGTATGGCAGATTGGCCCAATGTCACAGTTTTGTCGTTGACTGCCTCGGTCTTTTTTATCATTACTGTCCACAAAGCAGCTCCTACCAAAAGTAGGAAGCTACCTAGGACAGCAAGAGACGAGGAGATGAAGAAGGCTACCGTACGCTTGATTACACCACTGACAAAGGACTTAGTCAGCTTTAGAACATACCCGAATAAAATGGATCATGACTAACGTGAACAACGCCAGTGCAGTACAAATCGAGCCCAGCAAAATCAGGTAATATGCAGCTTTTGACTGTGTCCCGAGATAGCCCGAGTTGTGAAATGTAGTGCCCTTCAGGATAATGTCGGTTGCCTGCGAGTAATTCATTGCCATATCCGATATGACCGCGTCATACGGCAGGAATTTATTGGCGACTGTGGTGTTGGAGCATCTGCCAGCCGTCTTGTTTACGTATGCACAATGAGAGTATAATCCGAATTCATAGATTTGTCTCAGACCGGCCTGAACTCCTATAGGTGCTGAGGCGTTCGATGTATACAGATCGTTGATGGGGTCGGGGTTGAATGCGGCGGCTAATGCCTGGCTGTTGCTATCGTCGTACCGATTTTATGGATGAAAATTGAAGAATTTACTCACCCATAACCGGACATGTTGACCTTCGCCTGGACAATACCATCAGAAGAGCTATCGCGGCATAGTGCAAATGGAAGTTCACGCACCATCGCTATACCGCGAGGAACGGTAGAAGTATTGATTTGTCCAACCTATAGCACCGATAAGACAAACGTGGAGGATTGACAAATAAAGTACTTGCGTGGACAAAAATGAGGAGCAGTAAAGCCACGAAGCTACACGACCTTCAGCCGGATTGCTTAGACGGAGCCGACGTTGAAAACTTACGATAAGACAGAAGCAAAGCCGACACAAAGTTCTCCGCGCATTATAGAACTATCAGGTATCGAAGAGGTGAAGAAGAAAGACGTATGAGACCCTTGAACAGCCCGCTGTATAGATATGAATTGTCGACAGCGCGCAACCTCGAGGCTTCCGCACACTGGCACATATTATTGGGTGCACACGTGCCGTCGCATTAGCGGTTGCCTTTTTGGGCTCGCACATGTCGTAAAACCCATAACGCAAGTCTTGTGCGCTGTCCTTTCTCCCTATCATCCCTTCAGTCTCCCGATATCTGGCCTTTCTCATGTCTGATCATGATTCTCTGAAGCCAGTGGTCCACGATTATGCCCTTACCAACCAGCCAAGTCAACCCGCGGTACCCATGATGAAGCACGCCGATCAAGACGAAGAGGCCGATGGGTCCTCCTCCCCAAGAAAACGTATCACGCGTGCTGTGGGCAAAAGTGTTGACAACCTCACCAGAAGCTTGAGTGGTCGGTCAACACCGCAGCAGCGGCAGACTGCGGCTTCACCACCGAGACGTCTCTTCAGTTTGAATCGTAAAGGTAAACCAAAGGAGTTAATCAACGAGAGTTTGTCTCCAGACAGTAAATAGTTACCTTGGAGAATTTTTCAACTTCATTGATCTTGCCGTTTCCCCCCCTCCAGGTGATAATTCAAATGCGCAAGGTCGTTACGTATCACCAAGTCCTTCATCCCGGCCGACATCTCCCATCATCTCGGGTGCGAGTGATGATTCGCCATTCATAAGACCGCAATCACCTTCCGCTCCCGCATACCCGATACGACCGTCCTTGCAGGCCTTTCGTGGTGACGGTTCTGTAAGCAAATACCCCATCGGCTCTTCAATATTATTGAATAATTCTCGTATCACATACACAGATGCGTGCAGGTACACAGACTCTTATTCAGGCTCTACAAGCCATCCCGTGGGCAGAGGATTCAGATAATGATGAAGAAGTTATGCCTCAGAGGCTCAGCACTGCATTAGAATCGGACAGCAGTGACGAGGAGGATACTTTGGGTAAGCTAGAAACTCCGGGGTAGTGCCATTGCGTTATTTACATTTCATCAGGCCACCTGGCTTCTTCTATCCACACCATACATCGACCTGTCGCCCGTTCGCGTCGTGCCGACGCACCCCCTTCACCAGCTTTGGGTCTGCAGGCTCCCAGCATGGGCATTCATGGAGAAGTGGCATCAGAATCAGAATCAGAAGAGAATCTTGTTTCAGAAGAATTAGAGGCAGAGGACTTTGAGAGAACCCCTCGGCCTTCTGGCTCGGTTCCAGACTACGTGCAAGAACTCTCCTCGTCACCGGTAGGAACGCCTGGTGGCTCCAATGATTTGCCTAGGCGGACAACCATGGCTCGGTCTGGCAGTATGGCCACTGTTCGATTGCAACGGAGGGCCAAGCTAGCTGAGAAACTGAAGGATGTCTTTGAGTTGAAAGACATCGATGAAGTGTGGGCGGAAATGCCTTGTTGGCTACTTCGGTCAGTCTGTGAGTGTCTTGTAAACGCTTTTACAATACAGTTTATGCATCTCAACTTGTGTTGTCTTATCTGTCTAGTGCTACAGGGATATATGTATCTAACCAACAGCTATCTTTGTTTCTTCGCCCATATGCCCACCAGAGAAGTCAGTCGTCACTTCACTGTCGCTAAAGGACTTCCCGACTGATATGACATAGGATCAAATTCTCAAATCTGGGTCATTGAACAAAAAAGCCCAAAGGACAAAACGATGGATCAAACATTGGTTTGTGCTGAAGAATGATGCATTGTCTTGGTACCAATCATCTTCGGTATTGTTAGCTCCTTTATGCATGAATGACAGCCGGGACTCACAGATGAATTTCAGGATCCATACTTCCCGCACGGTATTGTTGACCTTCGATACGCGATTTCATGTGATCCGGTAAATGAGAAGGGTATACGTCTGCGGACAAATCAGAAGACGATTTCGTTGTCCGCAGATTCTGTACCAAGCCGAGGGGAATGGGTAAAAGCCATTCGCAGAGTCATATTCAAGACGCAAAATATGGGCGATAGCGTCAAGATTGCTATTCCATATTCTGCCGTTCTTGACGTCGAAAAGTCTGCCGCGATGGACTTCAGTGAGACCATCGAAGTGAAGGTCGTAGACAAAGAAGAAGCCTTTTCTGTAGATTCGTATTTTTTTGCTTACTTCCATGACCTTCCCGATGCACTCGACCAGATACGTGACGCCGTTCGAGCAAGCCGAGTGCTTCCTCCGTTGTCGTCTCCTCAAGCGGTCCTGGACACGACGGCAGCCCGGCCACCGCTCGCGCCTGTCATTCCAATGGACCGCGCTCAAAGCTTGCCAGCCGTGGATCTCGCTTCCAAGACGACTTCTGGATTCAGACTGACTTCTTTATTACGGCCATTCCATGACAATGCCCGTCCGATGAGCAGTCCCAGCCCCGAACATTTGGATCAAGGCGAAGACTTCACCCACATATCCAAGAGAAGCGGCGCCTCCTTTGTTCCCTTTACTTCTTCGCCGAAGTCGCAAGAGGCTCGGCTCCCATCTTCGGAACCTCGTCCATTGGTTGGGGCCTCGGCGAGCAATCTGACACCCACACCATCTAACATAGAACATACCTATCCTCCGTCCACCCCAACTAATGATTTACCCAGCATGAGTTGGAACGTTGGTGTTCCTTCCTGGCTGAAAGGCTCGTCACGTAGAGTTCTCGGCAGCTCCTCCAGTGCTGGCATTACCTACTCCACACCCTTAGTGGCCAGCACTAGCTTGGGGGGCGTATCTGAAGTATATTCCTCAACAACACTGTCCTCTTCCACGACACGGTCACGCTGTGCGCCAAGCGAACTAGGTTACAGTGTTCTGGAAACCCCAGAAATAGCTATCGACCAAGAGATGACAGACAAGTTCCGCACGGTATTTGCCTTTGATGACAAGGAAGTGTTACTTGGTTGTAAGTTCCTTCCTGCGAATGCCGATGACAACCATAGGCTGACTTGACGAATGCTTCGTCCGGCAGATTTTTCAGGTTACATATACAGCCTCTTACCGGTCTATGGGCGGCTCTTCATATCAACCAATTATTTTTGTTTTAAGTCCAGCGGTCCACTGACGTCGAGAACAAGGGTATGTTTGTTAATTTCAATAATCTTCTAAGCTAAGCTTGAAGGGCAGATGATGCTACCAATTCGAGATATTCTAGCGGTAGAGAATACGAGAGCCACTCGTTTTGGACACCACGGTCTTATAGTTATCATCAAAGGCCATGAAGAATTATTCTTCGAATTTGGTTTGGAAGATCGACGTAGCGCCTTTGTTACCCTCTTGGAAAGACAAATGGAAGTCGTTCAACGGCCTCAAGTGGCCAGCGAGGTCCCCATCCTCAGCCCAGGGAAGCGCGATGCTCTACTCCTGGAAGAATTCGAGGCAAAGACCTCGGACAGCACCGACGCGGATCCTAGGCCAGCACCCGACGGCATGACAGATTCGTTACCAGCTATCATGTTCACATCGGCATCTTCAACGTTCTTGACGTTCAAGCCGAAGGAGTCGTTAC